TATCCTAAATAGATGGGATATACAGGACAATAAACTAAACGAAGAATGCAAAAGCAAAGCATATTTGCATTTTGCTATATACAACATGCTTTAATTTCTATTTCTCTATACTTATGTATCATGAAATAATTACTAGGGCAACGCCGGCAAATATGCCGCGCGAGGATGTATATTTATGCCGTAGAAGTCAGAAAAAATAGAAAGAGAGGGGATAATTTTCCGGCAACTATTCTGTGTGTTACGTGTGTGTGTGTGTGTGTGTTTTTATGTTATATTAATATATTATATTGTGATTTCAGGTTTTTATTGTTATAAACGAATGCATAAAGAAAAAAATCGATTTTTTAATATTGGGTGCTAGGGTGAAGTTGGCCCTCCAAAACATAATTTCCTAAATTTTCGTGTATCTTTTGAACTAAGAGTGAGCAAACAAAAATTCCAACTGAGCATTCGTGAGCAAACGATGTGCAAACGAATGCATGAAGAAAAAAATCGATTTTTTAATATTGGGGGGCTAGTGTAAAGTTGGCCCCCCAAAACATAATTTTCGTCACAAAATATTTACGATAAACATTCATAAGTATTTATTAGGTGTACAAATTAGTTCGGTCCGTTTTTTTTGTGTTCAAAAATTCGTTTATTTCAAAATAAAATGAATGAACAGATTAATTAAAGCATTGTCCATCGCTGGCTACTACTTTTTCCCATCTCTCAGGCAATTTTCGAATTCCATCTAGAAAAAATGACTCGTCTTTGAAGGCGATCATCTTTTGGAAAACGGACCGAACTAATTTGTACTCCCATTATTATTATTTATTATTTGAAATATTATATAAATATATCATATATATATATTTTATACATATTTTATATAAACTTTATTTGAAAACATTAAAATAAACTAAACATTTTATATAACTTAATAACTTGATTTAACTTATAATGAATATAAATAAAAAAAAATATTTTTCTAGTAAATATTTTTTATTTAGATTATAATATCTTATTAAGTATTTTTATTATAGAGAGAGTATTTATTTACTACAATATGTACGATAAATATTCCATAATATTTATAATAAATATAATCTATGCAATCTAGGACCACAAAAATATTTACAAAATATAAAAAAAATATTTTATAAATATTGTATACTGTCTGGATTAGGCTACAAATATTTCGAAGCATTCGTAGCCTTCATACTTTCTTTTTCTTCATCTTTAGGCCCTTAGAATTCAGGTTTCTGCCTTCATACTTTCAAGCAGATTGTAATCTATATACACATATACGCGCGATTTCTGTACTGTGTGATTGGTTACGCCATTGTGAGGATGTTTTGGGATTGACCAATGAATTAAAACAATCACGATATGTGGCCAGACTCTGGCCTAGTTTACATCGTGCAATTGATATACGAGTGTAACTCACTATTGAATTATCTTAATTTCAGCGTTATGTGTAAAGCGGGGAGCATAGACTTTTGCATAACCCATAAAGCATGTGCATAAGGAATTTCATTGGTCCATTTTCTTATGCATGAGTCAATGAACCAATCAAATTCTTTATGTATATGGTTTATGCGTTATGCAAAAGTCTATGCTCCCCGCTTAAACATTGTGTATTTAATTAATTATTTTGATGCATATTTTACTAATTTAACACATTATTCTTTAAATACATTGCTGAAATTAAGATTATTTAATAGAAAATTACTAGTTAATACGCGTATCAAGTGCACGATGTAAACAGGCCTCTATCTTCTAGAGACACTAATCATATAGGGCTACTATACGCAGTTTCTCGAATAAAATTGTGTTATAATTTTTCATATTAATTAATAAATAAGTGAATAAATCCATAAATGGGTATATATAATTAAATATAAATAAACAAATAAATAAATAAATAATTAAGAATAAGTTACAGTTTAAAACTTATCCAATTTCTGATTATTTTATATTTGAATTTATTATTTATTTATTTACTTGTTATTTGTTTATTTTAATTATTTAATCCATTTGTTCATTAACTCTTTTAGTTAATTAATTTTTATAATTATATACATGAAACAGTGGCTACAGGAGAAGAGGAAAGGAGGAATAGCCTATAGTCACTGTTGCGGAGCTTAGAGTCCCTAGTTCTAGGGACTCTAGCGGAGTTGATCCGTGAGCGCTCGCTGCTATTGGATAATTTAAAAGAATATACCAATAACAGTGAGAGTTCACGGATTCGCTACGCAACAGTTGAGTCTGCTGAACGCAACCAATGGGCCGATTGATCAAATATGCGTATACATGTGTTACGTCACGATGCGTAGCCAGCCGTCAGCGTAGCTCGTAGTTGTCTGCTATTTTATCGTTGGTTTACAGCAGGTGTTTACCAGGTGCTTATTACAGGAACTGTCAAAATGTTCGGTAAGTGTGACAATTTACACAGCCAAAAAAATCATGTATTTTCAAAAATGCTAGTCTATTCGTAATCGGACGGTGACACGTCAACGTATGTTTATTTTTTTCTCTTCTTTTATCAGGCTGTTGTTGGTGTTGTGCTGCGTTACGTCCAAGATACAAGAGACTCGTTGATAATATTTTTCCAGTTAATCCTCAGGTGAGATCTTCGAATCTTTCATTTTTCTTTCGTCTCATATATTTTATTTTTTGTTCAATACGTTGTATAGTTTTGTTCGCAAGTAAATCAATAAACGCTGTCCTTGATAGGCGGGAGATACCAAAATGATTATTCTATTTATGGTTGAACCTGTGATATTTCCGCCGAATGAGAAATGCGATTGACACGTGTCTTGCACGCGACATATTAATCCGCTTTTCTGCTCTTCAGGATGGCTTGATTAAGAATAATATGGAGAAACTAACATTTTATTCGTTGAGCAGTCCTGAAAAATTAGATAGGATTGGAGAATATCTGTTTCAACGAGCTTCCAGAGATATTTACAGGTAATATAAAATATGTGATGTAATAATATCTTTGATAGTATATTATACATAAATCATTAACTTATAACACTGGTTATATCTATATTTATATGCTGCTATGTAAATAAAAATTAGATAAATTAATCCTAATTACTGTTATAAACATGACTGGCAATAATTTGTATACATAGCATGCTAATAGATTTTTCGATGAACTACATAAAACAATTCTGCTTGATAAGACACTATATCCTAATAGGAGACGAAATGGCTTTGTTGTGATTGCCATGGAGGCAATGGACCAGCTCTTAGTAGCTTGTCACGCGCAAACTCTGAATTTGTTTGTCGAGAGCTTCTTGAAAATGGTACAAAAATTATTGGAATCCACGGATCCTCAATTACAAATCCTTGCAACGCAGTCTGTAAGTGATAATCTTAACGTATTAACATTACTCTTATTGAATTTTGTCCAATTAAAACATGGATTTTCAGTTTGTCAGATTTGCTAATATCGAAGAAGATACTCCCTCGTATCACACTCGTTACGACTTCTTTGTGTCAAAATATTCGGCAATGTGTCATTCTAATAATGATGATCCTATTACACGCAAGCAAATTAGGCTTGCTGGAATTCAAGGCTTACAGGTATAACACACTGAAGTATTATATATCAGTATCAATTCTTATTGGACCACCTAAATTTCAAACCTAATGAAACCATGCCACAGTGGTCTAAGCTGGATTATGGGTGCTTCTAAATAATTATGTATCAGATTATATATTAACTGTAATGAAACTTGCAT